TTTTGAATGATTAGTAATTAGGTGATGTGAACATTCATATTTTATAATGTGAATATTCATATTGATAGTTTGAACATTCTCATTGACAATATAAATATTCACATTGACAGTAAACATTCACATCCTAGAATATTTGCATTGTAAATGTGAAATATTATTAGGGGTATTTGATAATTATGCCCCCATCTATACTATATATTAAACAAAATGGGGTTTTTAACCCCAAGCCTTGTGGGAGCTCCAATCTCCCAATCTAATTTTTTCGATTTTGATTTAAAAAAAAAAAACCTTAGCATTTATTAACTTCTCCCAACTCCCAAGTCTTACCTCATAATAACACTTTAATGTATTAAAAACGAATATAAAAAAAATTCTTTGAAATCCAACACATATGAATTTCTTGAAAACTCCCAACAATATAATTATTATCCCTCATAATAACACTTTAATGCATTAAGAACAAGCATAAAAAAAATTCTTGAAAAGTCCAATACATATGATTATTTACAAAATATTAAACTTTAATTAATATAATAAAAAAAAGACATTTAATTCCTTGAAAAGTCTAACACATATGATTATTATCAAAATATTAAACCTTATAATATATAAAAAAGGAAAAAAAGAAGGCATTTAAAAAAAAAAAGACATTTAAAAATCGCAATTCACATATATAGATAATGTAAACACAATCCGTGCATAGTATAAGATAATATGTTAGCACTATTATATTAAGCAAAAGGAGGTTTTTAAACTCCAAGGTCTGTGGGAGTTTCAATATCCCCAATATGAATTTTTTTAATTTTTATTTAAAAAAAAGAACACAGCATTTATTAATTGGTCAAAATCTCCTGATCAGCATTATAATCTTTTTCAATCTACATGTCTTTCCACATGCCTGCATTTATTGATTTGGTCAAAAACTCCTGATGAACATTTAAAATCACCTCATACCAAATAATTTTAGATACAATCCGTGTATATTACTGCAGTACCCTTTTCAACTTCTCTCATACTATGGTTAGTGATAAGATTGTTACAAAAAGTCTTAAAAAACATAATTTATATATTATTAAAAAAAATCTAAAACAAATACAAATATCTAAAATTATCCCGTGCATAGCACGGGGTGATAAACTAGTAGGACTTATTGGAATATAAGAAAATAATGTGAACTAAATGAAATATAAGGAGGTGCCAAAAAAATTTATGAAAAAGTATTCCTTATTTAAAAATTAAAATGAGTGAGGTTTTTTAAATTTAAGTTTATAAAGAGCTATTATTTAGGTTTATAACATTTAATTATTAATATATTAACTGTTATTTAAAAAAATGAAAAATAAAAAAAAACTCAACAGATTGATCCAATCATCATTTACGCCCCACGGGTGAACCTTCCACTTACCGTGCCAAATAGTATACAAACTGTTCCCAAATTTTTTACCATGAAAATTGTCTGGAAAATCATTGCATAATATAGATGAAGACTTGTATGTTCGTAGGTTACACTTGTAAAGAATCACATTCCCACCATTTGAATCTAAAATCCAAAATTTGATTTTCTAAAATTATTAATTTGATAAAAATAAATATTAAAAATATACTTTGAATTTTTTAAAAAGCACTTTTATCTTTTTAAAAAGATAAAAAGAATATAAAAAATAATAAATATTTAATAATTTTTATAATTTTCTTTACTAAATTAATTTCTAAAATTTTAAAAATATTTTTAAAAATAAATTCTGAAAATCAACCCAAAGATAAGTTTTATGAGCAATGATACATAACTCTAATTTTGAAACTTTAATTAGAGCTCTAATGATGTGACAGGAAAAAAAAAAATTAGATTAAAATATTCATATCAATGAGTGGACCCCACACCTAGAGCTCCTTTAGACATCTTATATTTAGAGCTCTCAAACATTTTTTAGAGTTTGAATAATGCTGTATGCATTAATTAGTGTACTAACTAGTATACTAATTGATGGTGTGACATAATTTAAGATATTTTTGGTATTTATAATTGGCATTGGCTTCCCTCCAGTCTCAGATCGGACTACGAGTGCTGTTGGGCCTGTTGGGGTCGACCAAAGGTCTCATTTTGATAATCCGAACCGTTCAATATGGCGAACTCGTCGAGTAATATATGTCTTTAAAAAATCAAGTTGATCAAATATTAGTAGCTATCTCATCGGATCAGTTTTTTTGTCAATCATTTATTTTTTCACTGTCCATTTTTTTAATACAAATCTAATTGATCACGCAACTATCGATATCAGTTTAACGTGTTTTTTACAAGCATATAGTACTCAACGAGTTCTAACTATTGAACGGTTCAAATTATCGAAACGGGTACCGTGATGGACTCTCATAGCCTAACAGTATCCTCCAGTCCGATCTGGAACTGGAAGAAAGCTAGACCCTTATAATTTATATAATGAATGAAGTCAATAATAATATCATAACTAATATGAATACACTAATAATGCACACGGTTAAAGTTTTATGAATAATGTTATATGCACGAAACTAATACACTTACTAGTGTACCAATTAATGATATTGTACGGGGAGCAAATATTCAGGCAAGCCGTATTCCTTTCTCCCAGGCTCCTGTCTGTCCGATCGACCTGCAAGCACAACGGCGGTGAGCTACCCGGCAGTGTGTGGCCGGAATACTCCTCCGACGGTCAAGTTAGACACACACAGGGATAAAGAGAGAGAGAGAAGAGAGGATTGAGTGTTTTGTGTAAATCTCACCAAATGTCATCTGTCTAGGCAGTGGGGCGCAGACTCGCTTATATACCTTCTGCGCCCCAAATCTACTCCTATTAGTCTCTCGACACGGTGGTGCTACTATCCCATCTGTCAGCACAAATGTAGCTGATCATCACCTAACCAAACTGCCCAGCCCACACTACCAGGATTCTCGGCAACCAGGCTGCATCATCTCGGCTGTCAACGGCCGTGTTGCATAACAAGCTAGAGTGCTCCGCTCGTCGAGCTCAATGACGACCGAGCTCGGTTTCATTCCGGCATAGCTGAGCTGAAATTGGTCGAGCTGATAAACCGAAGACCTTACCAACCGGGCTGGAAGCGCGAACATAAGACCCGGATCAGCAGATAATCATCTCAGCCTCCTTCAACCGAGCTACTTATCGAGCTCAACAGTGCCACTCGCCGAGCTCCATCACAAACGAGCTCAGCAGGACTCCGGTGCGACTGTGCTCCAGATAAGTTAGGCCGGTCTGCGGCAGATCACGATGCACCGAGCTAAAAAGAGCGAACAAGAGAAGACAAGCTGGCAGAGGATCTTCTCGTCCAACTCTGGTCTGGACTGCGGCCGAGCAAGCTTCACCTCGGCTCGACCCAACCTAGCTAGGCCCAAATACGCTTGGACCACATTCAGCTCGGCTAGAACCGCGGCCTAAGCCGAGATTACGAAAAATCCCCCTCTCAGATATGATATAATTTTAGAGGTTTTGGATATTTATAATTTGTATAATGAGTGGAGTCCATAATAATATCATAACTAGTATTGGTACGGAAATGGGTCATTGTTGTGCTAAAAGCACAACAGTGACTATTGTGCCTCAATTTGAGGTGTATTATGAGCTTATTTTTATGATCTGAACCGTTCATTTTGTAAGATTTATTGAGTTCATGCCTACCAAAAATTGTATTAATCGAATATTAATAACTATATGATCGATACCAAAAAAATAAACAATAGGTTTTTTTTTTGAGAAATAGCATAAAAAATATGCAATTCGATCTTATAGTTATTGATATCCGATTAATATGATTTTTGGTAGGTATGAAGTACTCAACAAATCCTACAAAATCAACAATTTGGATCATAAAAATAAGTCCATAATACACCTCAAATTGAGACATAACAATCACTGCTGCTAAAGGCACAACATAACCCCATCTCCGTATTGGTACACTAATTAATACACTAAGTTTTATTTACCTCAAGAAATTCCTCGGGAGCAGTGTCACTGCTGTGCAGTGTTCCCTGTTGTGCCATTTCAGTCTTTTTTTTTTTTGTGATGTTCTCACCATATTTTTTGACGTGATAAATTACACTTTTTTTTATTTTATTTTAGAATTTAGGGTTTAATTCTTAAAATGTATTTATTTTTTTATTTTAAAGTTTTAGGTTTAAGATTTAGGGTTTAATCTTAAAAATTTATTTATTTTTATTTTAAGATTTATGGTTTTAGGTTTAAGGTTTAGGATTTAATTCATAAATTTTTTTTTTTTTTTTTTAGAATTTATAGTTTAGGTTTTAATTTTAGGGTTAATTCTTAAATTTTTTTAATCAAGAGTTTAGGGTTTAATTATTTAAAAAAAAAAAAAAACTCTCATAAAACCTGCAGTTTTATCTGCACAAAACAGTAACAGTATTGAGGGGATTACAGCAGTGACCCCTAAGCCAAATTCCTCTCTCTGTCGCTGAGTTTTAAATAATATACATGTTAGAAGTGGGTTGGCTTTTTATTTTTTTGGCTATTTTAATTTGGGTTAAAAAATTTAATTTGAAAAGAATTTTGATTTTTTTTAAATTTTTTTTTTATGAGAGAATAGGTGTAATAATTATGAATTAAATGTGATATTTTTGTTTTTTGTGACTAAACAGCCATATTTATTTTTGTAACTAAAAAAAGTCAAAAAAAAAAAAAAAAAAAAAAAACTCTTGTCAAACGGAGCCTGTGAATTTGTTGGTTCAGCTCCACCTACCTGAATAGTGAGATCATTTCTCTCTTTGCTTCGTTGCATGATCTTCTGTGTCTGAGTGAGAGAGAGGAGAGAGAGAGGAGGGGGAGGAGAGCAATAATAATGTCGTCGTCGAGTGGTGGAGGGTTTTTCAAGGGTTGCAGGGCTCTAATGGCGGCATCGAAGAAGGCCAAATTCTCCGCTGCGACTACTGCGAAGACTACGACCACCACCCCAAATCCCAAGCCACCACGACGCTCATCATCATCGCTCATCGCCTGTAAATCTAAAATCATCGGAGCCCCGAAAACCCACCGGCATTCAGAAGGTTTCCCCAATCTCGCCGCCTCTCCACCACTTCCTCGGCGTTCCGGAGGTCACTCGCACTGATGCCGTCAAGAAGATATGGGACTACATCAGACTCCACAACCTTCAGGTCCCTAGGGTTTCCATTTTATGGATTTTATTATACATGCTTCTCTCTCTACCATTGTCCTCTCTCTTAATGTTTTAAACCCTAGGAGCTCTTCATTTCATTCTCTCTGCATGCGTATGTTTAATGCAATAATAAAAAATTTCCTTCTGAACTGTATGTATAATCATAGATTTAGCAGGTTCAATCAAATAATTCGTAATCACAGGTTCAACATAGTTCAGAACTCACAGATTCAATAATCACTCACATCATCACAAAACATAGATTCAACAGTCTTCAATTGTTATTTGCAGTTGAAGTCAAACTCGCTAGTCGATAAGGATAGAGACAAGGAAATGGAAGTTAGGCTGAGATGAGTCGGAGAGAACTAGGGCACTCCGCTGTTCGTATGTATGTATGTATGTATATAAAAGGGGGTTTAGTTGCAAAAAACCAAAAAAGAGGGAGGGTCTACAAAAGATTTAGGAGGGGCAATTTGAAAATTTATTTTAAACTTGTAGGTAAAAATATAATTTTCCAAAATTTGAGGGGCGGACCTCGCTCATACCTTTGATTTTTCCAATATTACAAGGGATGAGTATCTTGTAGGATCAAAGAGATCCCCTTAACTAGGCCATTCTGAAATGCGTACTTAATTTACCCTTTAAAGTTACCGCATAGTGATCATTTCATCCTTTTAGGGGTTTTGAGCTCACGGATTGTCCCTTTACATCATCCTTTATCCAATCAGTCTTGCCTTAATTATATTGTTATCTTGGAGCATTAATCATATATTGATGATTGATGAATACTAAACCCATCATTTTTTGCAAAAGAATGTTGATGATTTATTAAAAATATTTATGTATCTTTTCACTGTGAAATTGGTTTGAGTGAGGTTGTATTTCGTTATCTGCTTCATTGCACATTAATTGAATAGTTTTTATGCCAGAGGATGATTTTAATTGACTCTATTATCTTTCTTATTATGAGTTGACATTTCTCTTTTGTTTCTCCTATTGCAATTTTCAGAACATTTATGGATTTGCATTCTGTATATATTTATTTATACACATATGGAAGCTTTGAATCTATATTTATAATATTTATAATTATAGTCATGGCATGATTTAGGTTGTGGCAGGGCGTTGTACCTACAAATGATACTATGCATATCTTTCTTTGTTACATGTTATACAGAAATTTGTTGATACAAGTTAACAGGAAGAATTCAAGAGATCTGTTTGTAGCACATGATGTGCAATGCTATCCAAATCTACCACCTACCAAATGAGAGTTTGTTGATTGCTTTTCTCTGATTGATTTAATAATATTTAATGGCAATTTGAGCCAACACATGCTTCAAGAAATGAATGCTCTTGTTTTAATAGGTGAAATGATTTTGTTTTGTACTAATCAAATAAATTTGTAATTAGGCAATGAATAAAATGAAACAATGGCCTTGATGACACCTTTGACTACATGGAGCAATGATGGTTTGAGGAATGTATTGTTTCAAAGGTGATTTTTATGTGGAATTCTTGAATATATGTTACTGCTTACATGGTGGATGTTGATCTGAGGGAGTTTTTATACTTAAGAAAGCAAGAGTATACGAAAGAACCGAGAAACCTAGTCCAAGATGAGTAATTGTTCTATAGTAGTGCTTCAGCATGGTTCAACCAGCATCTCCTGTTATTTAATAGGGTGTCTGTGGTTATGTTTGCTTCTGATGTATTGGGGAGCAGCGTCAATTGCTGTGACATGTGCGTCAACTCAGAATGGTCAATATTTCATTGTGTCCTCCTTTTGTCCATTACATAGTGGGTTTAATTCCTTAAAACCTTGTGTTTTCATTCTGAAAACCCTTACCTTTTTCTTACCCATACAAATCCTTAAAAAAACTCATATTTTACTAACCATTCAGCCATAAAGCGCAATTAAAATCATCCCAAAACCCTACTTTTTCGCTACTATACTTTAAAGTTGGACTCACTGATTTTAGGAGAGTAAAAAAATACCCGCACTCATCCTACATCACCGACACCTATATTTGAGTCCATATAACATAGTCTTTACACAGGACAGATGCATGCACCGATGGATACATGTTATTCGACACATTCATGTATATATCTTAACATATAGTGCTATCTAATTCTTTCTTCTGTTTCTATTTCATTTTCTTCTTCTTTTTTATTTTTATTTTTTAAAGGTACCACCATCTTGTTCTCTATCTTGAAGCTTGTCTGGTGTTGAAATTACATTAATGCATAATCGAGAAGTCTCAATGTTTTTATTCAGTATTGACTTGTTCAATTATATTGTGTTGACTGTGCACTTCAACTCATGGAGACAATTTCAACATTTACTATAAAATATACATAGGTATACAATATGATTGCTGTCAGAGAAACTCTATAGATCAGATATATTTTGCTGAATTATGTGGGTGCTTTTGATGGCAGAACCCCACAAATAAGAAGGAAATATATTGCGATGACAAGCTGAAGACAATATTTGAAGGGAAGGACAAAGTGGGGTTTCTAGAGATTGGGGGGTTGCTATCGTCCCATTTTGTAAAAACTAGCGGACTGCCGATCAAGAAGACATCAATTTAATGTTAGTTCAACATCTTGTAAAAAGTAGGTAGGAAGAAAGCAAAAAGACTACTTCTTGTAATATTAGTCCAAGATTGATGGTCCCTTCTATGCAAGATGTTTTCAAATTGGTTTTAAAATGTTCTTATTTTGTAAGAAAATAGTTCCAAGCTGTGTGGTTTTTATTCTCATTAAAGCAGTGGATGTCTGTTTTGTTTTGGTGTTGAATTTTTAGCACATCCGAATCGTATTGAATTTGGTTGAATTTCTTTTCTCATAACTTTTGTACATGAAGGATGAATGAGATTTGTCGTCGATAATTATTTGACAAGTTTATTTCACAAACAAATTGATTTTTATGATTTTTTTTCTCTCCTTATTTCATTGAATCTTCACCGAATCCTTCATTTTTTGCAGAAATTATCATGCTCTCTATCCTCAGATATTTGTTATTTTGTTGATGTTAATTCTATACATAGGTGAGTAATAATTGTGTGGGTAATGTAGAGCTAGTTATCAAGAAGGGGCATGTGTTTATGAAATGCCTACTTTTTTACATTGATCTTAGAATTGAGTTGCACTACCAACTAATTACTTTTGGGTTTGCTTTGCAATTTATCTGTAATGGTTAGGTTTGTTTAGTTTGCTCCAGACTCTAATCCATTAACAAACATTTGTCGTTGTCGTCTTCTTCTTTTTCTTCTTCTTTTAAATTATCAATCGTTTCGAAGGGGCCGATTTTGTTTCCCACCTAACTAGCCAAAATGGATAATGTCAATTTTACCCATTATGTGATTATTGCTCGTATTGATCTTGAAATACCAAGTCGTCAAGCTGAGTTAGTGTTCTGGGAGAGGGGTGTTTGGTTGAGCTTTGGTATTTTGGTTTTTATTTTTGGGAAGACACATTTTGATTCGTCGGTTTTTTAGTGACACCTTCAGATGGTTGGATTTCAATATGCAGATATGTCTGGTTGGATATCAAATACAAATACAAATACAAATCAATTGTCCAAAAATGAAAAGATTAGGATCATTTTATAGACCCATTTGCCATAGTGATTACTTAATGAGAAATTCCCCAAATAAAATCAACAAAGTGAATCATAATTCTGTTATACGGAAAAAAATGCAACTAAATCAAGTACAAGAACTGTTCTACAAACAATAAGAAACAGAAAAAGATGGTGTATTATATGAAAAATAAAAAAAAAAGTATATACAATGTGAATATTTGGATTTACTTAAAAATGAATTGCTCCATTTTCTCTTTCCTTCTGTGCACCTTGTAAGTAATTAGTCAAGGAGATGGTGTATCCATTGCTCTACAATGGCAGGAGAGCCATACCACGGTCTTGATTCATCATCAGAGCCAACAGGCGAGTGGTATACTCCGTCCAAACTAATATTGAGCGCACCTTCTAGATGGGCTGCTACTTCTGGCACAACTCCATCGCCCCATACATCTGCCTGACCACAAACCTGACACGTTATCATAATAATAATCAGCATTTCAAGCAGGAGCTTGTGCTTCTGATCTCCAGCATCACTAACAAGATGAAAACCCCCCAAAACGAAGACTAGAACACTTTATTTCAAGGCACCAAGAAAATAAAAAATAATTACCTGCTTGTATCCCTGACCAATGAAGCGAGTGCGGAAGGTAGGGGAAACTGGTGCTGATGTGCTTGTGGCATTTACAATCGCAAGCTTGGATTCTGGTTGGTCAATGTCTATATGAAATGTAGAACTGGAATTCACATCTGAATCATCAAAGAACCGAGCCCCTTGAATATACCTGAATTATTATACAGCACCAACTCAGTTTTCAAATAGTATGGGTGTCGAAATTAGTTTTCCAATCAAGATTGACCGCAGATATATATTTTTTTGCATTATCTCAAAATATTATGTTCTTTCTCTATGAATGAACTGCCATAGATGTGGTTTCTTGTTCTATCTAGCCCTGATACAATCCAGCATGGATATAAGACAGTCATGATGAACCAGAAGACACTACCTGTGTTTTGTGCTACATTGAATCTAACCTTGTAAATTTTAATATGGCTCTTCAAGCAGACAATTTCTACATTATTAGGTGTCTTAATGGATTTCATTTAAGGCTCCATAATTGGGTCACAATAGTATGCCCAGCCACAGCGAGTCTTTTGCAAGGCCATAAATAATTTTTTTCCTCTTTTGGTTTCACTCTAAACCTTACAATCTGTATGGTTCTTTTTAGCATTTTGGCTCAATTGCCTCCTCTCCCCACCTCCCAAAACAACCCACCAATAAATAAATACATTTCCTATATCCACTTCAGATGACATATTCAGATGACATACATGCCACACTTGTAGTTTGCAAAATGTTAATATTACTCGTAGAAAATTTCTTTAATTTACTACGAAACACCATAAGATCTCAACAGTTGAGCACCTTGCAGAGTTCATGAACTCACGATAAAGTTGTTCCATTTTGTTGTGTGTGTGTGTGTGTAATTATCCCCTTAGGCATGAGTTGAGGTAGATTTTTGTTTTGTTTTTTGTTTTTTTGGTACAAGGGTGGTGCCCCCTTGGCACATTCTTTAATACAATTTAATTTTTTTTAAAAACAGGAAAAGTTGTAGTCAACCTATGAAGTATAGACACCTCTCCGGAGGTTACATACAAGTGTCCAACACGAACACGCTGGGACACGTGGGACACGTTGTGGACACATTGGGACATGCTGAGGACACACTAGGGACATGTTGTGAACACATTAGGGCACGCTTGGGACACGTTAAATTTAAATTTTTTTACTAAAATAGCATACCTAAGATTGATAAATTTGAAAAAATTAAATATATAAAACTATATGTTTTGCACATGTTCCCAACATGTCGTGTCCTACATTTTTTAAAAATTTGCATGTCCTCGTGTCTATGTGTCACGCCTCCGTATTCATGCTTCTTAGTACCCTACATCTCTTTGTTTTGAGCTATGTCAGATGGACTTGGATAAGAGTGTCGGAGTGTGGTACATATCTATGCATAAGACCTTCCTAAACTCCCCAAAAAAAATTTCCCAATATATTTGTGTGTGTACTTGGGAGGGAAAAAAAATATAATGTGATGAACTAAAATTTAAGGTGAGTAAAGCTTTGACCGGACAAAACATTAAAAATAGGTCATAATGTTCATAGAAATATTTTGCTACATGATCAATTTTGGACAACAAAAAAAAAAAAAAAAAAGAGAATATTTTATTGGATGCCTAATAGATTAAAAATAAATAAATTACCCTAGAAGTATCTTAAATTCTTGTAGTGTAATCTATACAAATCTACCCCTATCGTATCACTTTTTAGAGCATGTGGCGTACCACATTCCTGTTCCCATTCCAAATACCAAAACGATCCATGTTCCAAGTAACATAGGTGGGAAATATGAATGGGAAATTATTTTATCCTTGCCGCTGATGTAAGCTAATTTCTTTTCACTCCATGAATAATTTTCTTATCCACACCACTCCACTCTGAGCAATTTTATCATGTTAGTTACTTTAGGACATGTTCGACATGCAACTAGCAAGCTGATAAAAATAGCTGTATAATTTTACTCAGAACAAAAAAAAGGAAACTTGTTTCAGCATGAAACCCTTTGTATTGGTTGCCAAAAATGTGGTTTTGCCTTTCAAATGGTTAAATAAAAGAATAAAATGAGAATCATGGGATGTTTTATACAAAAAATTTAGATTAGGAGATAATTTTGCACATTGAGATTAAGTTGTATTTGATGACTGTATAAAGCAGAATGATACAAATTTTTTGATTTTATAGTGCCTCTTCCAAAGGGAACAGAGTTGGATATCAAACCAATTCTGTAACTTGGATGCACCCTGTGGATTTGTGCTTCCTGAACTGTGTAACCTGTCTGTTTACTCTAGTTAGACATGGGAAGATATTGTGAGAATATTATGTTAATTATGGAAATGTATTTTAGATTGATTGTAAATATTAGGTTGATCGTATTTCTTATTTCAGATTAGGGTTAGGATTACTATATATATTGGTTGTAATCTTTGTATTAGAACAATTGAATATACAAGTTTATTCATAAACTTACATGGTATCAGAGGCGTCTCTGACCCAAAACCCTATAAGTCGACAGCTTATTCTCTTTTTGTGTTTGTCTAGTTCGACTACAGGCTTCGTTCGTGGTTTCCTCTTGTTCACGACACTCAGCCTCTGCCTTGCGAACCATTTACGACTGACTACCTCTACCTCGTGACTCATCTAAGTTTGTTTCTATCTCTGCTTCATGCCCTCTAGTTTTCTGGTTTGTGATCAGGTATAGTCGTGATACATCTGGTCATCACGCCTCTGACTTGCGTGGGTGACCCATCGCGATTACCTCTGCTTCTCTCTGGTCCTCTGTTTTGGAACTTCTGATTCTTTGGAAGCTGAGTTATCTGGTTGCTTCGTCTCTCTCATTTGACCCATCTAGGTCGTTCAACCCATCTGACTATTTCATCTAGATCAACTAGGTTGAGAGACCGAAGATTCAGTCGTGAAGCTTCTCTGTAATGATTTCGCTCTCTCCGTGGTTCTCTGATTTCGTGGGTCTCGATATCTCTCTCTCTCTCGTTGGGTCTCGACTTCTCTGGTATTTGACCCATCTCTCTCTCTCTCTCTCTTTGAGGTTGGGTTTTGACTTCTCTCATATTTGACACTATATTTAAACCCAATAGTCTTCTGGTTATTATGCTGTGGTTTTGGATTTAGGGTTTATCACACTTGAACCCTTTAATTTTCTGGTTATTATGATGTCTCTGCCTTCTGATGAGTGTGCCTTCTGCCATCAAAGGGGCCATTGGAAATACCACTGTCCCTAGAAGGGACGTCTACCTACCTTATTTTTTTAGCAGTCTCAAAACCAATTCTGGGCTCCTCCCGCTGATTATATTACATCTGCTCCAGCTCCTGATCCTGACCTGGCTTCCTAGAGTGCTCAAATCAGTTAGCTTTAGCATATACTGTCTACCTCTCAGCCATCCCCGTCTTCCTCCATTATTTCATCTCTTTATTCAGATTTGCTTGGGTCTTCTTCAGGTATTTCTTTGTTTGTCTGGATTTTTGACTTTGGTGCCTCTCATCATATATCTTCCCTTACTTCAAAATTGTACTCCTCCCTTTCCTATTACTATCAATGCTGCTAATGGGTCTGATATGTCTATTATATCTATTTGGTCTGTCTTACCGTCTGCTATGTCTATTGTATCTATTCCATTTGTCTTTTATGTTCCTCAGTTATCTGTCAGTTTATTATCTATCAGTCAGCTTCATGCCTCTGGTTTTGATGTTATCTTTTCTTCTTCTATCTGTTTTGTGCAGAATCAAATGTCTAAGCGGCAAATTGGGATCGGTCGTAGAGTTGGAGACCTCTATGTGGTGAAGAGCTTACATCTGCCTATAGCAACCTCTCTGACTGCTTTTTCCTCTTTTCAGTTAGATTCTATGTCTAGTCCTTTCTACTTATAGCATTCTAGATTAGGGCATTTGTCTGCTGATCGCTTACGGTCTTTCGCTCAATCGGGTATCTTGGGTAAAGTTTCTCCTAGTGAACTTACTGAGTGTCGGGAGTGTAAACTTGCCAAAATGTCAGCTTTACCTTTTCATAAAAGTACTTCTATATCTGATACACCATTTTCTTTAGTTCATACTGATGTTTGGAGCCCTTCTCCTATTCTCACCAAATGGAGCTCTGCCTACTATGTGTCATTTGTTGATGACTGCACCCGTTACACTTGGGTTTATCTTATGACTCATAAGTCTGACTTCTAGCAGATATACCGTACTTTCCAGTCTATGGTCACTTCACAGTTTGGGTTTACTATTAAATTGCTACAGTCTGACTTGGGTCGGGAATACTTTAAAACTGAATTCTATGGATAGTTAGTGAAATTGGGTACCATTCACCAAACTTCTTGTACTGATACACCTGCCCAAAATGGTCGAGCTAAGCATAAACACCGTCATCTCCTTGAGACAGCTAGATCTCTCCTCTCTGCCTCTGTTTCGGCTCCGTTTTGGGATGAGGCAGTTCGTACTGCTGCTTTTCTTCTCAACCGTATGCCTACCCCCTTTCTTTCTGGTCAGTCTCCTTATGAGGCTTTGTTTTCCCACCTTCCTAATTACTTCCTCCTTCGTGTGTTTGGGTCTGCTTGTTTTGTCCTTTTACCTCGTAAAGAAAGGACCAAACTTAATGCCCGATCTGTCCTATGTGTCTTTTTGGGTTATAGTCTCACTCTGAAAGGTTATCGCTGTTATGACCCTGTTTCTCATCGCCTTTATGTCTCCTGCCGTGCTGTCTTTCTCGAACATCTACCTTACTTTCAGCTTCCTCCTCTCACCGCCCCAGTTTCCAAAGAGGATTTGGTTCATATTGATCAATTTCTTTCTGAGGTCCTGTCTAATGAGTACATCTCCACTGTTCCTCCTGAGCTTGTTCCATATTCTCCTCTTGCTTCACCTCTGGCTACTTCTTCTCTTTCGGCTTCTTCTCCTCCACTGTTGTTAGTTTATTCTTGTCTCAAGGCTCTTCCTCCACCAGTTGTCCATGCCCCTGCTGCTGATCCTCCTGCTTCTGACGACTCTGATCCTGCTGCACCTCGATATCCTGCTCGAGCTCATCATCCTCCAAACAGGTTGGGTTTGTCTAATACATGTACTTTTTTGTCTACTATTCACTCTTTTCAGAACCTCAGTCTTACAAGGAGGCCTGTCAGGATCTTCATTAGGTTCAAACTATGAAGGATGAGTTGTCTGCTTTACAGAAAACTAGTACTTGGGAATTGGTTCCTTTGCCTGCTGGTAAGAATCTAGTTGGTTGCAAATGGGTCTACAAAGTCAAGAATCATTCTGATGGTTCTCTTGAGCGCTACAAAACTCGTCTGGTTGCCAAAGGTTTCTCACAGGAGTATGGTATTGATTATGAGGAAACTTTTGCTTCTGTTGCCAAGATGACTATTGTTCGTGCTTTGATCTCTGTTGCTGCTGTTCATTCTTGGCCTCTTTATTAGATGGATGTTAAGAATGCTTTTCTTAATGGCCATCTTACTGAGGAGGTTTACATGCGTCCTCCCCCTGACCTTCACCATTTCTCTGGACAGGTTTGTCACTTTCGGCGTGCTCTATATGATCTGAAGCAGTTTCCTCATGCTTGGTATGATCGCTTTCAGACTACTGTTACTAAGCTTGAGTTTCATCCTTGTGCCCAGGACTCTGCTTTATTTCTTCTTCACACCTTTGCTGGATTTGTTGCATTATCACTATATGCGGATGATATGATCATCCCTAGTTCTGACTCTTCTGCTATATCTAAGGTCAAGCAGCATCTTTTCTACAACTTTGAAATGAATGATCTAGGCCAATTGCGGTATTTTCTTGGTATTGAAGTAGCTTCTTCTCCCAAGGGCTACTTTCTATCTCAGGCCAAGTATGCCAATGAGTTTATTCATCGTGCCGATCTTCCTGACACTAAGATTTCTGATATCCCCATTGAGCTTAATGTAAAGCTCAACACTACTAATGGTGTTTTTCTGGATGATCCTACTTTATATCGAGAGCTCGTGGGTTGCTTAGTCTATCTAACGGTTACTTGTCCTGATCTTGCCTATGTTGTTCATGTGGTTAGACAGTTTGTCTCTGTTCCTCGCTCTATCCATTGGACTGCTTTGGTTCGAATTCTTCGCTATCTCCGGGACACTATATTTCAGGGTTTACTGTTGTCTTCTACTTCCTCTTTGGACTTGGTGGCTTATGCTGATTCTAATTGGGCTGGTAATCTCATTGATCACAAGTCCACTTCTGGCTTCTGCATGTTTCTTGGTGATTTCTTGATCTCTTGGAAGGCAAAGAAACAGGCTATTGTTGCGCATTCCACTGTCGAGGCTGAGTACCATGCTATGGTTCATGCCGCTGCTGAGATTTTTTTAGCTTCAATGTCTTTTGACTGAGTTAGGTATCCCTCAGTCTTCTTCGACCTCCATTTACTGTGACAACCGCAGTGCTATTTAGATTGCACATAACGCTGTTTTTCATAAGCGAACGAAGTACATTGAGATTGATTATCATTTTGTATGTCAGCATCTGCAGTCTGACTCCATCTCGCTTCCTTTCGTCTCTTCGGCATTCTAACTTGCTAATTTCTTTACGAAGACTCATACCACTGCTCGTTTTCAGTTTCTTCTGGGCAAACTCTCAATGTTTTTTGCTACAACACCTTGAGTTTGAGCGGGGGTGTGAGAATATTATGTTAATTATGGAAATGTATTTTAGATTGATTGTGAATATTAGATTGATTGTATTTCTTATTTCAAATTAGGATTAGGATTACTATATATATTGGTTGTAATCTTTGTATTAGAACAATTGAATATACAAGTTTATTCAGAAACTTACATATATATGTAAGCCATTTAAAAAAGACACCTAAAACCTCTGTCAAAGTTTCAAAGAGATAGTCAAGAACAAAAATATTACTTCAGCCCAGATAACACATTGTCTCAAGCAAGATTTTTTTGATTTATTTGCTTTTAGTTACTCCCAAACTAAATTGTAACCTATGTTGCATGGACTTAGGTACAGGTGTCGGGTCCGATTGTGTATCTAAAGATCGGATCCATCAAACCTCAAATTTAGGGGTACACAGACTCATAAAAAATGGCCATATTTATATATTTTTAATATATTATGTGAGATAAAATGTGACATTTAGTGTCAAAAATGTATTTTTCTCATTTTAAACCAATTATGCTATATGCATATAATGATAGTGTTAAATACAAATATTTAAGAAGTGTCCGATGAAAAGTTGTCTACACTTATCCTACATCTTTGTCCAAGTGTCGGGTGTCCAACATAGGTATCTGATTTATTTTGAAGAGTCCATGTAACAGAGATGTTAACTACTGAACCAGAATAAAAACACTTTCTATTTATGGAACAAATACATTCTACTTGCATAATAATCAACAATATTCCTGTGTTCCTGATATTGGCATTTACCATCTTTTGTATTTATATTCCACCACAAAAAAATTACATCTTCAAAACAAAGTCAGATGCTTTCAAAGCTTGACGCTCTAGTAGAACAACCGAGGTTGATTCAAAATGGATTTGCTTGTGGTAACCCTTATTTCTATTATTTTAGAACTATTTTTTTCATTATTTTGATAATGCAGCCCATGTAAACGAATCCGTTGGAGCAAATTTGTGTCTTATTAATACATATAATTTACCCACTACAAAAAACTTTGCTTTCCCTAACTCCTGTGCAACCTACTATATGGGAATTACATATTATCAGCTAATTACCCCAATTTCTATAGAATAGAATATATCTAGAAATGGAATAAGATGTCACTACATGAGAATCATGTACGCCAATTCAAGTTCTCTGATTAAAAACTAATAGCATGGATCAAACAAACTTCATCGGTAATGAGTAATCAATAGTCATTCAGCAATGATGATAACCTTACAAGAACCAAAAAGTCTACAGTGGGATTTAGGAAGAGCAACTTTTAGCAAGATTATAGGGAAAGTTGAAGCAACTGTAGGAGTAGGACTGAGAAAACAGGCTGTGTTTTTAAGAGTTTACCTCCCTGCTATGCATACATATCTCAGTTGTGGAGTATAGACAGCTTTTGAGCAATGTTTTTCAACATAGCTCAGGAGGCCCCTTGTTTGATCAATAACACCAGGTGAACCTTTTGGAGGTGGCCTGAAAGGGTACAACTGATGATGATATACAATATATATTTCAAACTAAGCTCTTCACAATAGGAAAACCAAGTTTCTAGCAAATCCCATAAACTATACAGCTGTCAAAAAGGTTAATAAAAATATGTAAGGGGATTCAAAAGCCAATAGCAACAATATTTAGAAATAAGATGATAACATACAGGTGGGGGGTTCCTAGAGTCAATAACAAGGAAATATCGGACAACCCAAATTCTTGCATGTAGACACGTGCTAGCCATCCTCCTGCTGAGTGTCCAATTAAAGATAAAGTTCCACCTGCAATAAAATTTGCTTGATTATGGGTCTGCACTCTGCACTATATATATTTTATTCTGGGTTGAATTCATTTTGCTCAAACACTTGGTATAGATTTGTAATTGTGAGAGTTGCACAGAATTCAGGTTTGCCTAGGTTAACTGTGCCATTTTATTTTCAGAAAAAAAAAGTTAATAAATATTAAGGGTGGGAATTTTCGACACAACTTGAACTGCACACAAAGTTTGTGGGTTAAGGTTGACCATTTATCGGCATGAACTCATAAATGACATGACCCGATAACATGCATATTACACAGGTCAGGTTAGTGTCGAACCTACTTAATACGAAATTGATATGAATAACCCATTTAATGAATAATTAGTTACACATTTTAATATTATTCCCACTAAGGGAGCCCCAAGGGGCTGGCCTAGTGGCAAGACCTTAAGTCTTGGGGGTGTACTCCCTCTAAGGTTCAGGGATCGAAACCTCTTAAGTACTAACAATTTCTTGGGGCCATCGGACTGGGAGAAAAAATCATTGATTTAACCGTGGTGCACTTGCGGAAAATTCCCTGCCCAAAGTCTATGCACCCCTGAGGATTAGTCGGGTTGATCTGAACACCCCAGCGGTGACAACCAAAAAATATATATATATATATATTATTCCTACCAAGGGGTGCCACAACATTTTTGAATCTCTTATGCAACTCCATCTAACTTATTACAAAGTATATACAATAGAACTTTATGCCTAACATTGGTTTTGTTTTTGTTTTTGTTTTTGATTGAAGATAATGTATTTTTTGTCTACCATTTGACTTTCTAGTAAAAAAAATCTAATAATAGGATCTAGTTTTTGTAAATTAGGAAAAACAAAATTGACTTGAAATTTAATATTCATACGAATAATTTCATTCTAGTCTCATTAAATTTAACTTGTGGATTTTTTAAAAAAAATTTCATACACTTGATATTTTTAGCTAATGGTAAATTTTTTTGAAATGGCACATTAACATAATACGAACTAGACAAAGACCGACAATGACACGATATGATAACGCAAAATAATAAACAGGTTGGGTTAGTGTTGAGGTAATTCTGACACAAACCCAAAATGGCACGACACGAATACGACCCAACATGACATGATGGCTACCCCTAATAAATATCAAAATATGCAACTTATGAAAATGATTTTCAGAGAATTACTCAAACTTTTAGAAGAACCCTTGAACTTCAAAGTATAATGCACACTTTATTTGAGAATGCCAGTTAAGAAATTAGAACAGAGAATGTTGCATTGTGTTTAGCATTGAATGGAAAAGGCCAATCCAGTGAAAGAAAGAGGTGCAAAAGTAAAGACATCATTTAGTCACAATCAAGTGGGAGACTACGACAGTTTAGCTGCATAAAAATACATCTCAGATAATAAGTCTCCAGAGGAATGTTGGCTCCATTTGGTTAAGTTTCGATAATTTTTTTAATTATTTATATTTTTGAAAAATTAGAAACTAGTTTGACAAAATAAACAACAAAAAGCTATTTTTAAAATTTCAAAAATCAGGTTTGCACCCCCAAAAATGAAAACCATATGAAAATAATGCATTTTTTTTTTCTCACCAAACTAGTTTTTGAATTTTTTTTAGAAAATAGATTTGAAAACTTAACCAAACAGAGAGTTTTTTTTTTTTGGTATGAAAGGAAGTAAAGAAGTTGTGAGCCTTGTTTAGATGTGCATAGAGTTCAAAAGATCATAAGGCTCATATCATACCATCCACACAGTTTGTTACAACATGTGCTGAAGCATGAATTGATACATGTGCACTTGTGCTTTTTTAATGCATCATTTAATGTTCAAGTCAACTTAAAAATCCTTAATCCAAACTGATTGGTCCTATATGTACATGTTTTCTGCTATGTTATATGGACTCAGGTATGCGTATCAGGTGTGGGTGCATATCCAAGCATCATACCTTCATAAATTTAAATCTTAGGATCTTGGGATACGTATCCAAAATTGGAAATGGGTATGAGACAAGTGATATACACATATATTGCATATTATATAATATTCTTGGATGAGATGTTGTAAATTATGTAGAAATATACTAGAAATTAAATATGATTCACAAAAAATATAATATTTCTATATCTAATTCATGTGAGAGACTACAAATATTACTTTACTAGCAAAATATATTGTAATAAATTAAAGGATTCAAGTATCTAAATTGTCTATGAGTGTCGGACACATATCATACACTCCTACCCATGTCATATCCAATGGACATGGATACTCTAGGGGAAATAGAAGAGTCCATGTAACACAAGTTTTCTGTAGGCCTCAACTGGAAACATCAACTTTTTCACAGTTATAGTTGCTTTGTGGAGTAGCCTACAAAGAATAAGAGATTACTTGCATTTAAAAAACAAAAGTAAAAATGACATCATCAAATAGAAGTTATGAAACAGTAAGTGTGTGCAGAAACTCTTCGGGGGACATGCGTAAATCTCGGGCCTCCATAAAACACCCCTTAAAATACTTTTTAGTGTACAGTAAATACAAGACACCTCCCAACAAGTCAGAACCCCTATAGCAATTACAATTAGATTGTTTACTGCATCACAGTGAGAATCTACTGATGGTTTCAATAATAAAAGCAACTAATAACCAGATTTTCAAATGGTATTTTCACAGTGAAGAAATTCAAGAAAAGCATCAGATTACGAACCTCCAGTCAGTTTCTTTGCTTCATTGATAGCTTCATCAATCCTCTTCAAATACCTGCCAACAGAGTGATAGCTTAATGATCATAAATCATTACCTGCGAACCATAAATTCAGCAAAGAGTAAGAGCAAAAGGCAATACCAATCAAGAACAGGGCGAGGGCAAAGGGTGCCACGCCAGTAATTGGGGTCCACCAAGCCAGCAGCATTCCTCAGCCAATCAACCCTCGAAACATTGGCAGCCACAGTTGGCACTCCGTATCCATTCAAGATAAGCTGTAACTTCTTATAGTCACTAGTATTATTCCCTAATCCCTGAAGTGGTGAGTGAGAATGTATGGTTTTGTCAGTCAAATTCACAAACACATAGGATGCACAAGTTTATATGTGTTTATTTACTTATGGGTATTCCAAATGCTGCAAACCCAATAATCGACACCAAAATTCAAGTCTCCCAACACTACTTGTATTATTTCCTAAGCCCTAAAGTACTTCGTGAGTGAGAGTGTAAGGATTTATCAGTCAAATTCACAAACACATAGGATGCATAAGTATATATGCATGAATTTGCTTATGAGTATTCCAAATGCTGAAAAACCCAACAACAAAAACAACGCCCAATTAGTACACATTAATACGTGTTTGGCAGGAAAAAAATTAGATACACACCTAACATTTGACATAATGCACAAAGCGATTGTCCTCAAACTTGAACGCAAAACCTCAAGGTTTTTAGGCTAAGGTTTTACCATTGAACCAATGGTCACCAACAATGCATACCAAAATTCAAGTCTCCCAAACCCTATAAAGTTCTTAGTTTTATACTGATTTGGGATATCTTGATATGGTTTTACAAGTTAAATTCACAAACATACAGGATGCATAAGTATATATATGAGTGATGAGTGTATTTACTTATGGGTATTCCAAATGCTGCAAACCCAATAATGGACACCAAAATACAAGTCTTCCAAACCCTAAAAAAGCTCTTAGTTTTACAGTAATTTGGAGGATATTGACAAAATTAGTACTCAGCTAGCTTATAAACAGAGGAACAGGGCTATAAAAGTACATCATTATCTAGAGAGAGAGAGAGAGCGAGAGAGAGAGAGAGAGTTAACTGGAAGAATAACGGCGGGGCGATAGTTGAAGGTAGTGAGTGGGGAAGAAGAGGTGCTTTATGTGTTTATTTACTTATGGGTATTCCAAATGCTGCAAACCCAATAATGGACACCAAAATACAAGTCTTCCAAACCCTAAAAAAGCTCTTAGTTTTACAGTAATTTGGAGGATATTGACAAAATTAGTACTCAGCTAGCTTATAAACAGAGGAACAGGGCTATACAAGTACATCATTATCTAGAGATAGAGAGAGAGAGAGAGAGTTAACTGGAAGAATAACGGCGGGGCGATAGTTCAAGGTAGTGAGTGGGGAAGAAGAGGTGCTTTGTTGTTGTTGTTGCTGTTGATGTTGAGATGTTGCAGAGCAGCGAGAGAAGAAGAGGGATTTGAGTGGTGGTGTTGGTGGCGGAGACAGTGAGAGTGGTGGCAATGTCAAAGCTAAAGCCATTAGCCACCAGTCAGTCTACCACCGCCGGAGTTAGGGCGGCGAACGGTGGCGGGTTGTCTCCTTTGTGGCAATGGCAGAAATGGTGTGGTTGGCACTTGCTTGGTGATCTTGTCCTGCAAGTATTTTTTGTAGGGTTAATTTGCACTTTGACCATGTACTTTTACAAAGTTTGCACTTTTGTCCTCCTAAATAACATTTTTATAATTTAATAATTCGTTTTTCAATAAGAAAAATGATATATAAACGTATTTTCTGAACTCACTTTCTATCCAATGATATGTCAATAAAATAATTAATTGATAATTAGAGAATAAATTAAAAAGAAAATTAACTTAGATACTTAATTAATGATGAAAATTTGTTGTGTAACCCATTAATACGACTCAAATCATACACATAATTAGAAGGTTAGGGTCAATTATTTTTTGATTCGAACCGGAATCTGACACGATTTGAAAATACGAATATTAAATGGATCGTATTTAGATTGAACACGCGAAATCCAAAATGGCCACGTTTGACCTGCAAAAATATTCTTGTTGGCACATTGACACGAACCCAATATTGACTCACAAATAATCCGAATATAACTTGAATTTAGTAACCATAACATCTTAATTAATTCATTTTCATATGTTAAATTAAAACTTAAATCTTTATATAATATATACACCTAATAAAGTGCAACCCTAAATAAAGAATAAATTGGTACAAGTCAAGATTGGTAGACAAGAGAGTTTTTGAATGTGTAGCAACAGTGCTTTTGTGTCTGAAATCAGAGTAAAAGAATCACAATAATGTTACTTTGGATGTGACATAGCTGCAACATTATTATTATTGTTAGTTTGTCATTAGATGAAAACTTGTTTTGTTTTTAAAATTTTATTAGGTATTTAAATATTTAAAGTCAAAAATTATCTTTTCTTTTTATTTTTTGCATATCTTTTCGTAAAAAATTAAAAAATTATTATAAACATACTAATTGTTTTTACCTCATATTTTAGCCAAAAAATTATTAAAATAGGTTGTTTCCAAACGAGGCCTGAGTAATAGTAGTTTGGATTGGATGTGTAATGAATTAGTGATAAATATTTTTAATTATTTTCATAGATATTGGCATACATATTATCATTGTGTCAATATTTAAACAAGTTATTCTTATGCATGTAATATGAAACACTTTTTTTTTTTTTTGGGTGTAAATAGGAAGTACATTTTGCTTATGATCTAAAACATGAGATTTTGCTAATCGTATACGATTATAGGCCAGTATGAAGATAATTGACACGTTTAATTAAATGAGTTGTGTTTGTATTAGATTATTTTGAATGCAAACCTGATACGACATGGCATGAAAACGATACGATACAGTATGATTTTTATTCCTAGTGACACATCATTAAGTTTAGTAAAGGAATCTACTATTTGAACTCAACAATTATTCATTTGAGATCATGTCATTCTCATATTCTTTAAAATAACACTCCACGGCCCACTAATGCTTTTTTTTTTAAAAAAAAAAACTTAAGTCAATGAGAGAAAATTTAAAAAAAAGAAAAAAGAAATAAAAAATAAGAGAGAGAAAAAAGGAAAAAAAGAAAAGAAAAAGGAAGAGATGGATTGCAACCTCCTATCACCAATTGCAATCATCACTAGCCACGGTACCACTCACCTCTAACAATTGCAATTATCTGAACAACCATAGTCATTCAAATCTTTAAAATAAAAATAAAAAAAAATAAAAATAAAATAAACCTAGTCATTCCTACCACCAATTGCAAGCACTCGCCACGGTGCCACTCACATCTAACAATTGCAACTATCTCAACTCAACAACATTAGTCATTCAAATCTGTTTTTTTTTTCTAAAAAAAAGCCTAGTCATTCCTACCACCAATTGCAAGCACTCGCCACGATGTCACCCACCTCTAACAATTGCAACCACCTCAACAAACAACCATAGTCATTCAAATATTTTAAAAATATATATATAAATAACATAGTCATTCCATGTCCATTAGGTATGGACTGCAATTGATAGGGGTGATCGCTATTCCAATTAATTTTTAAAAAATAAAATAATAATAATAATAATAAAACTCTTTTAATATAATAGCATTATTTAAGGGGTTTCCACAGTCTCCAATCCAGATCTACGATAGTTCGGCCCAGTTCGGCTCACTGGACCCACTTTTAAACCCCTTTTCAATAATTACAACCATTTGTGTTTTAGGATTTGTTTAGTACATTCTTCCTGTAAAAAATTACGTCAATCGAATAATGGATACTATGTATTCAAATCACTTTTGTCTGGAAAAAAAAATGAATAATCAAAAAATTAATGATTCATAAAAAAGTGATTCGAATACATAGTATCCGTTATCCGATCGACGTGATTTTTTACAAGAATAATATACTTAACAAATCTTAAAATGTGAACAGTTTGAATTATCGAAAAAATCAAAAAAAGCCCAAAAGTAGACCCAATGGGCCAGACTAGACCCTCTGGTCCACCATCTGGGTTGGAGGCATGCCCCAGCCTTATTTAAGAATATGTCTCAATTATATGGATTTGCCACTTCAATATATTTTTAAAAAATTTAATACTCCGTCCCCTAATATGTAAATGAAAATCTATAGTTATCCATATGTTGAAAATAATTTAGAATTTATTTGGGAATAGATTATTTTAAAAAAAATTTAAACTTTTTATGAGAAAAATATACAAAAAAATAAAAAAAATAATATAATAATTTATAGTGATATTCTGCCTATTTAACTAAAATTAAAAATTACCAAATGAAACTTGAATATTTGAAAAACAAAAAGTTAGTGAAACAACTTCTATTAACTTGGACTTTCAATTCAGTTCTTTGTAATCTTTACACTCCCACTTTACGCACAAGGGTGACGACGTGAGGCAGGTGATGAGGTTCCATCCACGATCCACGCATCGACCTGTCAACAAGCTTTAAATTTAGAGTAGTGATTGGTAGCTCGAATTTGAGCTCCCGAATTCAAAAAACGATGCTGTTTTTGAATATTTTTTTTTTCAGAAGAAGAAAATCAGAGGAAGAAGGAGGAAGGAGGAGAAAGGAGAAGAAGAGAAGAAGCAGAGGCGGAGGCGGAGGCGACGGCGGCCGGGCGGAGGCAGAGGCGGACGAGCTGCGACGATCGGCCGGGCTACGACGATCGGACGATCGACCGAAATGCAGGGGCCTCTCTGTGTCTCCATTCCCTCTTCTCTCTTCTCTCCCTTTCTTTCCCTCTCTCCTCTCCTCTCTCTTTCTCCCTTTCCCTCTCTCCTCTCCTCTCTTTTTCTCCCTCTCTCTCTCTCTCTTGCCTTCGATTTCTTCAGATTCGAGGGATTCGGGGGAATGATTTTTCGGGGGAAAAATCATTTCTCTTAAATTTATTTATTTATTTATTTTACCTTAGAAGTTTTGGTTAATAATCAATCATCTCCCTCCCCCCCCCAAAAAAAAAAAGACTTTTACACTGTGTTTGGATGAGGTGATTTGGAAAGAAATGATAAAAAATGATGAGAAAGTGGATTCTTTTCTCAGGTTTAGTTTATAAGTTGAGTGAGAAATGATAAGAAATAGTGAGAATGAAAATTCTTTTACTAAGTCTATTTCATTTCTCACCAAAAGTGGTGAGATTTAGTGAGAAACAAATTAATTGGTTGTTGTAGAGGGTCAGAAATTAAGCCCCAAACTAAGCATGAGCCTAAATCCTGAGGTCGCCCCAAAGAGGCGACCAGGAATGAAAAAGAAGTGCTGGAAATTGGGCCCGGTATTGGACCCGAATTTGGGCGCCCATGTGGCATGACCCATGGCCCATTCAAATTACCCATTGAATTTGAATTTGATTTCCTGATTATTCTATTTGTTAGGATAACTCTCTATCTATTTACATCTATCATATCTTTAAGAGATATGGATAGATGGATATATATAGTTATATATCTGATTATATATTTGAATATATAGAATATCAGATACGTTATGTGATTTTTATCCATAACATTTTTCTCATACTCTCTCTATAACTCTCTCTCATATCAGAGAACGATCTAGCCTTTGCACTGTGATTAGAGTGGGTGATATTCATACTGTGGTATCACTCCATTGCTGGGTGTTCTTAGTTCGTGATTAAAAAAGCGCGTGATTTAGCGACAAAGGTTCTTCGTTTCGGATTTTATCACACAAGGTATGGCTTGAATCCTTTTATCTGTTGCGTTATGTATTTCTTACATTGGTATCAGAACTATAAATGGGTATTTTCGTGCTTGTTTTTTGTGCATTAAAATATGTATATAATTATATACATATACACATGATATATGCATGAAAAATTAATATTTTTCTGAACTTTCTTCGATCAACCTGAAATTTACATATGTTGTAGTATATTTCATGTAGAATATATCTGTCAAGTTTCATGAAAATCCAACGGTCGGATTTTGAGAAAAATGGAGATTCATATTTAATTTTTCGTAACTTTGACTGCAAGCTGGTTTTACATGCTTTGTTTTTATGTTATGGAAATTATATATTTGGAATCTTTGTTTCAATACCTTCTAAATGGTATATTATGGACCTGATTTCGACTCGTGGTTGATAAGAAAAAGCAAACCCTAATTTGGATTCGTTTTGTATTTTTTGGTGGCTTAAGGAAGAAGATGAAGTGATGAAAATCCAACGGTCGGATTTTGAGAAAAATGGAGATTCATATTTAATTTTTCGTAACTTTGACTGCATGCTGGTTTTACATGCTTTGTTTTTATGTTATGGAAATTATATATTTGGAATCTTTGTTTCAATACCTTCGAAATGGTATATTATGGATCTGATTTCGACTCATGGTTGATAAGAAAAAGCAAACCCTAATTTGGATTCGTTTTGTATTTTTTGGTGGCTTAAGGAAGAAGATGAAGTGCAAAGTTTCTACACTTCCACTCTCATTTGAGAGAGAGTGTGATACACCCTATTATTTGAGTTTGTTAAATGTCATTTTTGAGACTACCAATGTTTTTATTTTGGAAAATGGAGTCCGGCAGTATCAAAATTGGACTAGAAAACACCCTAGAAGGCGGCGCATGAGCCGCATGTGCCATCTGACAA